TTCCTGCTTAGCAGTGCCCATTCTTTATCTCCAGCTTATCCTCAAGAACTTGCCAAATCATTCTTCCAGGCTTTTTTTCAACTATTCCAAAATTTAAGCACAATATTGCAGCAACATCCTTCGTCTTCTCATGATATAGAAAAACCTGCTGTTGCTACTGCTCAGAGATCCGATGGGAATACAGCTACTGCCCCCATTCAAAGGAAAACGCCCTTCTTACCATTTTTATTCTGTATTTTGGATCAAGAAGAGTCATAGAGCTGTGATGAGAACACTAGAGGATGAGGCTAGATCCAGCAGAGAACTTCACTGCTTGATTCTCTCCTCTGAAGTAACTTCTGAATCATCAGATCCAGCCCCCACTTCACAGATGTTCGTGTAATGGCCAGAAGGACGCACAAAACCCCAAAATGCTCAGACGTTAACTATAATATAATGCAGGAAGAGAACAGGAGAAATCAAAAGCAGTGTCAGATGCTTAGATCTGTCCTAGATCTGTGCAGATACTCTCTTTAGGCATTGCAAACCCAAGCTGCTAACCTCCAAAAACCCCACTCAGCCGATGTGTAGAGGTCGTGTCTCCCAGGACACAGGCCATCAGGGGTTGATTTCTTACTCAGCCCGTAGGGGTTCAGGCCCTCATCTTCTACACACAGGCAGTCACGGAGTAGAAGAGGGATTTCCTGGCATGTCTCCCTAGCCTCTTCCAGTCTGTGGGGACATGCATTTATTATCTGAGTCAGAGAGTAGAAGACCACGTCTCCCAGTTCGTCTTTGCTGGAGGACACTCAGCTGAGAGCGAGTGACCTGCTGTCAACTTTGTGCTTCTACAAATGCTTATCTGGTTTATATTAGTGCTCACTGAAACAGAGAGGAACCCACAGCATTACTCTCCCATTGTTCTGTCGCCCTGTTCCTGCTCTAATTAGAGTCTGTACCCAAAAGTGCTCCCTTTCTGCCCCTCTGCGTGTCACGGGGGCTTCCTGACCTCTCCAGCCAGCACGGCAGTGCAAACGAGCAATAGCACTGGACCTGGGGTGTACAGCACAGTCTTCCTTGAGACAATCTGAAAAAACCACTAAGTACAAGAAAGCAGGAACTAGGAGAAAAAATTATCAGTTCAGGCTTTTTTTCACCAGAAATCCAGCCAGGGCACAAGACAGAGATAATCCCAAATTCCCACTGTATGTTGCACTTGGTGAATTATTTCAGCAGCAACCAAGGCTAAATGTTGAAGCATTTAATGAAATCTTTCATTTGGAGAAATGTCTGGTTTTCCTCAACCTCTTTAGACTAACGATGTTGACTCTCTGATTTGAAATTGCATTTTCACTTCTAAATTTAGCCGTGTTTTGCGATGAGATGTTGGAAGAAGAGTTTTAAAGAAGAAGAAAAAATCCAAACCAAACAAAAAATATTTAGTGAGTGAATATTTGAAATGTTCTTATATACAAAGTGTGTGTACACATTTTCTTGCAAGGAGAGGGTGTTATTGGGAATGTATACGTATTGCTGATCTTAAAACAAATAGAAAAAGTAGGGGGTATGTCCTAGGTAATTTGAGCAAAAAGGATTTTACTGAATCCCATGGAGTTGTACCTCTGTGTTTCAGGAATCATTTTTATCCCTCGAGATTTTCTGCATGGCCCTCTGAAGGTGAATTTCAGGGCCAGTGTTTGAAAAATGCAAATGTCCTTGAGTTAACCAAGGCCAGATTTTTTTTTCTCCAAGAAGTCACGTAAGCTTGGTCCGATGGTTTAAATTGTGAATGGGACCAAGAAAGGGTGGCCTGACTCTCGTGGCAGCTGATAACCGTGCTGTGGCAGCCAGGGCCTGAAGTCTGAAGGGATTATTGGCAGCTTCATACAAGTAATGACTGAGCAGAATCTTAAGGGAAGATTCTGATCTCACTGACTGCTGTAAATTAGAAATAATCCCAATCACTTTGAAATGTGTTCCTGTATAATTTGTAGGAAGGTGGTCTCGACCGAAAAGCCTGGATTGGACTGTTGCCATGTATGACTCACTTCTTTATTTTGTAACCTGAATTTCCAATATACAAACAAACGTAGAGAGGTGCTGCCCCTGCCTACACCGAATTCTCTAGTGCCTTTTGTCCTTTCAGTTGTTAATGGCGCAGAATGTAGGGTTTCCACCACCTCCTGCCGAGACCTTTCAGTGTCTGAGCGCTCTCATTGTTATGAAGTGTTTCCTGATGTTCAGCCTTGCTCAGCGTCATCTCCTTGCTTGTAGTTAAATACCCTCAGATCAAAACAGTGACATTTAAAGACAGGCAGGCAAAACCAGCGCACAAAGTCAGCTGGAGCGGGTTCAGAACAGCCTGCGAAGTCTCCTCTGGATCAGACTTCAAACAGGCCAGACAGACCCATCCTGGGCAGCCTTTACGTGCTCAGTCCCTCTCGTGCTCTTGCCCTCTGAGAGAGTTACAGATCTCAAAGGTTAGTGGGTAATATCTAGATATATGTACACACACAACAGTACTATAAAGAGATTATTTCCACAAAGCCCATTACCATTTAAAGTCCTTGCAGGCCCCAGTTTGGCCCACCCTGTGGCTCTGCGGGCCCATGGAGGCATGCTGGCGGGATACAGCCTGCTCCTGGGCAGGACCTGCACGCTTGCCATTTGCTTGGGCATGACGGCGGTGCCCACCACAGCCTCGAGTGCAACATCACCCTTGCTGAGCGTCCGTTACAGGTGCCACGGAGGTGGAAACACATCTGCGCCTTGGCACACCTCAGAATTGCTCTATTTTAGGCCTTTTCATACAGCTCTTGAACCATGTCAAAACAAAATGAAGCAGCGATCCCTGCAGCGTTTCAGGTTTTCTCTCCTGCCCTCGTGGCAGCTGCCAGCAACGCTTTTCTCCCTTTCAGCCCAGGTTTTTCTCAGAGGAGGAAGGCAATGTGGCACCCATTCCCTGGGAGGGGATCTATGGATCCCAAGCCAGTGGTGGGATGTTTGGCGCAGGATAGAGCCTTGCTCATCAGCTGGATTAGTTTTAACTTGCTATTTAAACAGATTACTTTGGTTTATGTAGATGTCTATATATTTCTACCAAAGATTCTCATGGGTTGCCACTTTGGCAAGGTTCAAGAGTATTAAATTTACATGAAGGGAAAAATACATATAATTGAGAAATATAATGAACACTGTCTTTTTAAATTTCTTCCCATTCTTGTTATTTACGGGTACTTTAAATCAAGACTTGGTGCCCTTAATTATGTAATATATAATAGTTGGCCTCAGCCTAATATTATGTTATTGAATCCAAGAATGACATGAAAAACAAGATGCATGCAACCAACGTACTCTTTTCAAAGTGAGGACAGCCTGATGAGAAATCCTCCTGGGAAAAAAATTGCATCAGGGGCTGAAACAGATCCTTCTTTTTTTTCTTCTTCCCTTTTTTTTTTTCTCCCCCCAGCAACAGAAGGTATCAGAAAATGAGTCTGATGAAAAGGACAACATCTCTCTTGCTTTCCTTTTTCTGATCTTTCCGTAGCCCAGAGTGCTAATCAGCCTGTCAATCTCTAATTAAAGAACAGCAGTGTCAGGCAGAAGAGAGCCCTGCTCGCTGAATGTTAACTAGTAAAGGGGATTTTGTGCCCAGCAGCGACAGCAAAGAGCTGTGTCAGGAGGTGGGCTTGAGCGCAGGGGAGCAGATCCGATGGGCTGATGAGCATTTCTGAGCCTAGGACGGTGTCTGCTCGGGGATTGCTCGT